CTGAATTAAGCTATTTCGACTTCAGGTACACATTTGACGTAGCTGAAGTTACGTATCTTAATTTGACTTTTGCCCTTCAGTGTAGATATGCCCTTCATGTTTTTGGGGCAGGAATAAACAGAATCTGCTGTTTGACCAAACTTCCTTTTTAATTTAGATTCGTAATTTTGGCAGAAACATTTCACCAAACAGAAATGTTTAAGTAAATAGCTCTGCAGCATTCTTTTGCAGATGTAATGCATGCTAAGCACTTAATTGTAAAGGGTTGGAATATTTGAAGCCTGTGTGGAACTCGCATAAACTTATCTTTGCTATTTGTGCTTGTTATAACTAAGGGCTGGGTCCTAGTCCTCAGCATGAGACTTGAATAAACTGGCTTTACGTAGAAAAGCCCCTCTCTAGTTTTCTGAAAGGGGTTATAAAAGCAAATCTTCAAGACAAGATTTTGAACAATGACATGATAGTGACCAACATGGAAGAGTTTTTGCTGTAGATCTTTTTTGTCCCTTCTGAGCTAAAGTTTAGGAATAAACTCCAAAGCTAACTTCCTAACAATGCTGCTAAGGGGAAAATACCAGAGAGGCTGGTAGAAGGTGTTGCCTTGCTGTAGGCAAAGGACAATGAGCACACAGCAGCAGCAGCAGTAGCAGCAGCAGCAACCTCCTTTTATCTGACTACTTCTTGGTTTTTTTAAACAGCTGTTAACTCTAAACTATTATTCAGGAATGAGAGTCATAGAACTGATGACATTACAAAGAGTGAGCAGATAAAAGTCCAACTGCGTTATACTGCTGGCTTTGGCTGTAGAGGTAACCTTCATTAAGAAGAATAGCAGTCCTCCTTGAGTGGTTACTCAAGCAAAGATTATTATCCTGCCTTAACTCTACATACTGTCAGTTATTAAAATTTGCCTTTTTTTCCTGACATGAATTCAGAATTTATTTTCAGGGCATGACCACTTCTTACTAGCCAATGAGCAAGTCTGAATGCTGAGAATGTGAAATGATTGGCATGCAAACTGTTGAATGTATCCATACAATGCTGCTACCCAAGCTGATGAACAGTAGGTTTTGACATTGATAATGATGAGTGGTGCATCGACTCAAGATTAGTTGCTAAAGCAGAGTGGGAAGGAGCCATTCTGAAGAGGAATCACATTTAGCAGCGTACCTGTTTACTATGACTGACTTACCAAAAGGGTAGGTGTGCCAAGAAAGACAAGATTAATTCTTTTCTTTGATTCCTCTTGCCCAACGAGGCCAAGTATATGTTGGTAAAAGGAATAACCATGGCTTGATTACAGGAGGAAATGCAGGAATAACAAAGGTGGTATGGGAAGGATGGTTACATTTCTGCAAATATTAAGACGTCGTAACTGAGTTTGAAGAATGAGAGGTAGATGAGCCCACAGTTTGTGTAGTTTCACAGCAGTTCATCACAATGCTGAATGTTATGTCTTAGGAGAGCTCCTTAAATCATGACCCTGTGATGCAGTGATCAGGAACATAAACTACAAACCTTATTGTTCATATCCACATAGCACTGCAAGTCCTGTTCCAGCATTCACTGGGTTCATTAGGAAATTTCAGAAAGATTCTCTGAAGCTATCTCTTTCTAGGTTGTTCCAATGTTTTTGGTCAAAATTCTGAAGAGGAATCTTCTAAGACACATTAATTTTTTGTAGGTCTTTTTAGTATGTCCTATTTCTACTTTGAAATGGCTGGCCTGAGTAAATAGTTGGGCCTTTTAATATTCTCTGAAAGTCAACCAGCTCAAATTCCTTTGGACAGAGGGTGGGGGAAACATTCTACACCTTGCTCTGAGCCATACAAATCTCAGGACTGCATGCTCACGCTGCTCTCAGCTGCTGTGCTGGCACATGTGTGGAGAGTTGATCCCAAACTAGAAATGGAGAAAAACCAGACTTTTCATATGTACTAAAAACATCTAGGAGCCAATGAACTTTGTGAAGGACGGGTACAATATGTTCCATGTGTAAATATTTGCTAAGTAAATGAGCAGCATTCTGCACTAGTCACATTTTCTAAAGTGTCTTCAGGAATAATTATATGTAGATCTGATTGTTATTTTCCAGTCTAGGGGTGACAAAGCATGAAGTCTTTGGGTGAGGTCTGTGTGTCTCAAGAAGGTTCTCAATATCATTGACCCAGCATACATAAACAGGTACTTATGGCTGCTGATCTCTGGATATCTGGAGGCAGTAGAGGACCCAAATGAGCTCCTACTTCACTAAAAAGCAGGCCTAGCTGCTCAGTAGAAAGTTGTTAGAGATATTAAGCAACTTACCACACTGATTGCATCTTCCTGCCATCCAACATGTAGCTGCCTCATCTGGTATCCAAGTCAACTAGCTTTCATCTTATCTAGCTGCTGTGGTAAGTAGGCTACTGCCCTGCTTGAATCTAGTGAAAAAAGGGACACAGGGAATGCTGGCATCAACATCCTATTGGCATCACAGGGCAAGGAGTTTCATTGTTTCCTCAGAGATTGAACAGGAAGGATGAGGAAACAGAACCCTATATTGCCCCAACAGAATAAGTCTTCTGGGTGAATAAGCTGTTAGTTTCCCCTCTCAACCAGGGCAGCTGGCAGGCTGCTGGGCCTTTAGGAAAGGGGTGTGTGTGGGGGGGTCCTGGCTTCATGCTCCCAGCAGGAGTGGGGCTGGGACCATCCGGCCCTTGGCACTTCCCAGAGCACGCTGCACTGTAGCCCTTCCTCCGAGCAATTAGTGCTGCCCGTAGAACACTATACAGTGCTCCAGCAGCAATTTAAAGAGCGTGGGGCTCCAGCCATCACTGCCACTACCAGGCCCTTCTGAATTGCTTGGTCCTGGGCAGCTGCCACCTTTGTCCTCCCACTCCCTTGGTGAGCCTGTCCTCAATGTTCTGTTTCTTGTAGCTTTTCATTTACTTCTTGCTATGTTTGGGCAGCTTTTTATAGAGACAATTTACTCACCTGCAGGTGGATATGTCTCTAATTCCATTAACCTTTTTCCACCTAATATTATTAATGGTGGTTGGAACCTATTTTCCTACTGAGCAGCTTGTGGAATAGTATAGTTAACTCCAATTACCTCCTTTATAAAAGTAACATAAATCCCTATGGGCCTCTTCCCTGGGAAAATAAAACACAATATGGGGAAATTTTGCATCTGTCTGTCTATAGTTCCAATTACTTCAGTAATACTTAGGACCCTACTAAATTCATGGTCCATTGTGGGCAATTTCACAGTCATAGGATTTTAAAAATAATAAATTTTGTGATTTCAGCTACTTAAATCTGAAATTTCACAGTGTTGAACCCAAAAAGGCTGCAGGGGGAAGTGGTGGCAAGGTTATCAGGGGTGGCTTGCAGTACAGCTACCCTTACTTCTGTGCTGCTGCAGGCAGTTGTGCTACCTTCAATGCTGGGCAACTAGAGAGTTGTGACTGCTGGCTGGGAGCCCAGCTCTGAAGGCAGAACTGCCAGCAGCAGCCCAGAAGTAAGGATGGCCTGGTATGGTATTTCCACCCTTCTGCACCGTTGCTTGCAGAGCTGGGTCCTCAGTCACCAGCTGTCACCTTCTGGCCACCCTGCCCTGAAGGCAGCAAAACAGAAGTAAGAATGACATGGTAATGGTATTACCACCTTTTCTTCTGTGCTGCTGCTGATGCAGCACTGCCTTCAGAATGGGCACCCATTCAACAGCTGTTTCATTCTGGCCACCTGGCTCGAAAGGTAGCACAGAAGTAAGGGTGGCAATTCTACAACCCCAATAAAATAACCTTGTGACCCCTCTGCCCTGCAGCTGGTTTATGACCCCAGTTTGAGAAACAGTGGTCTCCCATTTGAAATCTGTATAGTATCGGGTAAAATTACACAGAACACCAGATTTCATGGACTGTGACACATTTTTTCATGGCCACGAATTTGATAGAGCCCTAATAATAGTGCAGAATAGGAATGACATCAAGGTTGTTTTATTATGACTCCTTCACAAATTCCTAATGATCATTGATGTTTCCATATTTGTCATTAACACTGAACAAAATTGGGCCTTCTCTGTTTTTTCAAAGGAAAATTAATAAGATGACAGTTGAGGCTTCCCTAATTCTTTATGAAGTGCTTTGATTGCACAGATGCAGAGGTTGTGTGAAGGGGATGGAAAACAGCTCCTATAAAACTCCTCCACTTTCTATGTGTCTCTTTTTAAAATGATTTTATTTTATAGTAGGATTTCTACTTTACTGCTAACAGAACTAGGAGAAGAACTCATCATATAGCTGGGGTCAGTAGTTTTTTATCTCATTGTTCAGTGTAAGGAATTGCCTAGTGTTATCCTTCACTCCCATACTGTCTGCTTTTCGGTAAGAATCACCTTATCTGCTGGGCCAATGAGACCATTAATGGAAACTCTGAGTATACCACTAGAGCTTTACTTCTTGATCAATAGTTATTTACCTCTGAGAGGTCAGAGCTTGGCTAATATAGCTAAATAATTTTATTGATAGGTAACATAACAATGAAAAATAAAGTTTAAAATAGAAGATGAATGAATTCAGCACTTTCTTGAGGCATGAATATTATTATTTGAAAATTTTAATAGCTGGTGGAATGTTGAAAGGGCAGACAACAAAAGCATTGAATAATTGTCTTAGGACTATAATCAGACTTCCATTATTGACCTCTGCTAATATTCTACTGTAACTGTCTGCTAAATTGGTTCCTTGGGGCTTGAAATATACAGTGATGTTATGAGTTCCTATCGTAAATTGCCACACAGAAAAGTAGCAAGTCTCTGAAATAGCATTGGTCCTACTTTGATCAATACTCAATTCTAAGCAGTGCAATAGGCAACTGTTGCCATAGAAACATTGATGTCACAGAGGTTGAACAGTGGCTGTTACAACAAATCATTTCCTTTGAACAGTTGTAATTGACTATATGTATAGTTTGCTGTCACCTGAGACTATTTACATCAAGCCAGTAACAGAACCACATTAGTTATTCTAGGAGTAAGAGGGTTAGCTCTTCTTTTTCTGACCTTACAAATACCTAGGAGGATATTGCCATGGTAACCAGAGATATAATAGGATGAACATTAAGGGAGCTACATAATGCAGCAACATTCTTTTGGAACATGAGAGGTAGTTTTAATAAAGTTTATCTAGCCATCACATAATATAAAGGTTACATTAAATAACCCCCACTACCAGTTCTAGCAATGTCACAGTTTGGCACAGACAAAGGTAAGAATGTTCAAGACTTTTATAATAGAATTTGAATGCTACTATGGGCACTGATTTGAGATAGTACCAGGTTTTTGCAGCAATATATTTAGGGGATCAGTTTCTGGATGGAGAGCTTGGATCTGCCCTCAGATTCTCTGAGGGTACATCTACACTGCACCTAACTTGAGATAAGATATGCAATTTGAGCCATGCAAATTATGTATCTTATTTGGATGCTATTGTGAAATAGCTTATTTTGTCATTTGGCGCTGTCTACACAGCTCCAAATTTCAAAATAAAGAGCTATTCCAAAACATCCCTTACTCCTCGGAGAATGAGGTTTACTGGGACATAGGAATAGCAAACCCAAAACAATGGGCTTGCTGTGAAGATGCAGGATAGCTATTTCGGGATACTCCGGTATCCTGAAATAGTGTTGCAGTGTGGATGTAACCTGGGAATAGTTACACTTACATGTCAATCTAAGGGCAGAACTAGGCTCAGAATTTCAGCCGTAATTTTAAAGGTCTCTTTTCAGCTATTTTCGGGGAGATTTTTAAGGGCACTAATGACACTTAGATGCCTACCTACAACTTGAAAATCTCCCTCAGTACGTCACAATCTATGTGCAGGATTAAAATAAAATTAGTGCCTTCAATGCTAATCACCATTGCACCCACAGAAGTATTTTTTCTGTTACTATTCCACTGAAGCTAGTAGGATAGAACACACCAGGGGAACGCCAATACTTACTGCAAGATCAACACTCCAAAGGTCGAACTTCTAGCATTCAATTTAGTGGGTCTAGCAGAGACCCATAAATCAAACGCTGAGGGCAACTCCTGCCAGCATCCAGTACTCCCCCTTTTTATAAGGAGTAAAGGAAGCAAATGGGAGCATTTGCTCTCATCAGCCTTCTGCAGTGTGGATGTCACCATGGCTCAGCTTAAGGTAAGCTGACTCCAGCCACACATACTTTAAGCTGACCTTTCAGGTCCATTGTAGACATGGCAGAGCTCAGAAGAGTGGTATAATCGGGGCATAAAATATTCATAGAATCCAGCTTCAGTCAAACAGAGTAAAACTCCATAGTGTCCAATTTAGAAGCTCTCTCTAAATGCAAATAATTGGTTTTGCTATGAAAATATGAACATGGGACTTTTTCATTGACCAGTATTTGCTGTGATGTCCCATAATTACAAAACTGCTGTACTGAGTTGCTTATATATAACTTAGTAACCCATCAATCAAATGTCCTGTTAAGTAAGATAGAGTACATAAGTGCAAAAGATAACTCTGAAGGTACAAGTTAACAAATTTCAAAAATGCACAATTTGTCCATGGGGATGTGTGCATATGAAAAAATAAATTTCATTGTTATATCATAGAAATGCAGAATAAATGTAACATTTATTTGTTTTGAATAAAACGGCATATGTAAAGTACATAATAGTGTTTTGTGGTGTAAAAATTTTAATGGTCCTTTTTTATTCACAAGCCATGAAGCCATGAGTAAGCTGTGGAAGTGATCCCAAGTTAGTGCCAATGAAACCTTCATACCTCACGAAAGGTCACATATTTTGCATATCACACAAAATGTGTGGTAGGCATGTATATACTTTTCTTTACACGAGTAGTCCTGTGGCACCTAGAGTCTAACTCATCATATCTTGAGCTTTTGTGGACAAAACCCTCTTCCTTAGATGAACTCACGGAGGATAGAGCTATACAGCAGCATTATCTTGAAATAACGGATATTATTCTGAAATAACAAAGAGCGTGTCTACACAGCAAGACATTATTTCAAAATAATTTCGAGATAGCAAGTTTCTTACTCTGATTCCCGTAACCCTCATTTCCTTCGACTTCCCTTACTCCTCATGAAGAGTGTTCTTCCTTCAATTTCCTGCCCTGTAGACAGCGTCAAAAGCCTAATTAAGCTATTTCAACTTTAGCTACGCAATTGACGTAGCTGACATTGCATCAACTTTTGCCTTGCAGTGTAGATGTGCTCCAAGGAAGTGGATTTTGACCACAAAAGCTCACGATATATAATAACTAGCCAATTAGCCCGTCATAAGACAGGATTTTCAGGTCTCTCCTCCATGTCAGTCTTCTCTCCTGAGCCTCCGGTCTCTCGCTCTGTCTCTCTCTCTCTCCTCCTACTGCCTCCCCCCCTCTCTCCCAGCTTTTTTCCCCCTCTTGCCTCTCACTTGGGGGACCACAGAGTCCAAATGGCCTTTTGGGCTGCATACTCCCTGTGCTGCATGGGGAGCGCGGAGCCCAAACAGCTGCTTGCACCACTTGCTCCCATGCAGCAGTGCAGAAGTCAGCCGAGCACCATGGCAGGATACGAAGGGTGGCGGGGCGGTGATGGCTGACTTCTGCGCTGCTCAGCCGGGCTGCCACGGGGGAGCAAGCGGCCATTTGGGCCCCATACTCCCCATGCAACATGGGCCGCTCAGAGGGAACAGCCAGCATTTCAGGCAACAGCGCCGCCTAGAGGGAACAGTCAGCATTTCGGCGTTACAGACTCATAGACACTGGGCTACTATATATATGATTTGTTAGTCTCTAAGCTGCCACAGGACTACTCGTTTTTATATTTGCAGACTAACATGGCTACCCCTCTGAGACTTTTCTGTACACAGTGAATCGAACATGTAACCATAAGTCCCTGATACCAAAAGTTTGATAGGATGTTTACATTTATATAGATAGGAAACATTGGGATATGCTAATACATCAGGGCATAAAATGACTACTAACTGTCTGGCAATAGGAAGAAAATTATCCAAAAGGAAGTTATTCGTGATAGACTATTCCAGGATTTCTTGGAACTTTCTCTGGAGTTTCCATGACTAATTGTTGGAAACAAGACATTGGACTAAGTCACTGGTCTGGTCTGGTCTGGCAGTTCTTAAATCAATATAATACATAAACTTCTTAGAGCATAGAAACTTCCTGTTCTTTAAGGTGTTCTAGCTTTAAAGTTTTCTGTTCTTGTAATACACTTGTTTTGTGTGAATGTATTTCTGAAGTACAACATGGAACCACAGACATAAAATATACAGTATATAGAACTAGCTGGAAATGACGTATGAGCTGACAATTTGATTTAAGTGCAATAAAATTAGTTTACAACTAAGGACTGAGAATGAGATGCTCTTTCTTTCCTTTAGAGTCAAACACCGTGTTCTTTTTTTTAAAAAAAAGCCAGATAATCTTTCTGGGGCAAAGTGAAGAATCTAGGGTGTTTATATCATTTTTGTGACCCTGTCACGCAGATGACTGGAAAAGAACACAGCCATGTCCATACATATTTGTCAGTTAAAACAGATTTCAACATTCACAGATTGGAAGAGTTGGCTGTGACTCGATTCTCATTTCAATTCTGGGTGATTGAGTCAACTGTGATCTGGTTCTGATTCTAATTTTGGTTTGATTATGATTCTGTATTGTTGGGGTTCTGGCAGAGGTGATCTGCTTCTCCTTTAAACTCTGATTCTCTTCACCCAGGTTCTGAGTAACTTTGATTAATTTTGAGGGGTTTTTAGTAAGATTGAGTCAGTAGCCTGATGATCAGATTCAGATGAGCAGTCCCATCTGGACATCCTATCATTGAGAAATATTTGGGAATATGTTGGTTCTGAAAACACAGAAAAAAATAAAGGTGAAATCTGAACTGTAAAGGATGCAGATGCCTCCAAAAAATAAGCAAATAAGGAAATTATACTTTTCAAAATTGAGTATCCTTCATTAGAGTGTCTCTGCAGTAGTGACAATTAAAAGCAGTTTGTCCTGTGTAGGCACAGTACAGTCTGGTTTAGGCTGAGCACAACGGCAGTAAATACAAACAGTTAGAATAAGGAAAGCTGGGCAGCAGGAGTGAATTCAATACTTAAAAAAGCAGCATCACAGCTCAGATGCAGAGAACAACTGAGATTCTCTTCCCCCTCTATATAGTTAGATATAGTTCTAGTGTGTGTATTACACACACTATTTCCCCCTACTCTTTGTCTACTTTTCCTATTTTAGTTCTGAGCTCTTTGGATGAGGACTGTCCGCTACTCTGCTTAGGCAGTGCCTTGCACAAGAGAGACACCAATATTGGTTGGTCCTAAGGCATTATCATAATAAAAATCATTCATAATAAATATTCTTGACTATATTAGTGAAAGTGTAGGGCTAGAGTTACTCAAAAATGAAAATATCAATTTTACAAAAACTATGTGAAATTTTGAAGCTGTTCCTCTTTTTCAGGGTTCAGAACAGAATAATATTTAAAAAAATCATCTCTCTCTCTCTTTTTGGTTTCCTTCTTTTCCCCGTTTTCCTTTTTGCTTCTGAGTTCATTGAAAGAATTCTTGCTGTTAAGTTACAGTAGCTTGGCTGGCAGACTGGACTATAAGGTGGTCAGAAAGCTGGTCAGATCTTCGGGCTCAGGGGTTGGTGATCAATGGCTTGATGTCTAGTTTTCAGTGGTTTCAAGCGAGCACCCTAGTGGCAAGTCCACGGGCGAGTTTTGTTCAACATCTTCAATCGTTATCTGGATGAGTGGATGGTTTGCATCTTCAGCAAGTTCATGAAGGACAGTAAGGGGGGAGGGAGAGGTAGGTATGCTGCAGGGTAGGGCTAGGGTCTGGAATGACTTAGTCAAATTGGAGGATTGGGCCAAAAGAGGTCTGACAAAAGAGGTTCAACAACGACAAGTGAAGAATCCTGCACAGAGTATGGAAGAATCCCAAGCACTGTTACAGGCTGGGGACTGACTGGATAAGCAGCAGTTCTGATGGAAAAGATCTGGGGTGTACGGTGGATGAGAAGCTGGATATGAGTCTACAATGTTCCCTTGTTGCCAAAAAGGTTAACAGCCTATTGGGTTGCATTAGCAGGAACATTGTCAGCAGATAGGGGGAAGTGATTTTCCCCCCCTCCCCCCCCCACACACACACATCCCTATCTGGCACTGTGAGGCCACATCTGAGGTACTGTGTTCAGTTTTGGCCCACCCACTACAGAAAGGATGTGAACAAATTGGAGAGAGTGCATTGGAAGGCAAGAAAAATGGGGGATGGATCACATGACTTATGAGGAGAGTCTGAGGGAATTGGGCTTTTTTAGTTTGCAGAAGAGAAGAATGGGGTGAGAATTTCATAGCAGTCCTCAAGAAGCAATGGTTTCAAGTTGCAGTGTGTAGGGTGGTGTAGGTTGGATATTGGGGGAAAAGCTATTTCACTAGGCATTGGTAAAGTACTAGAATGGCATACCTAGGGAGGTGGTGGAATCTCCATTGTTAGAGTTTTTTAAGGCTGGGATTGACAAAGCCCGGATGGAATGATTTAGTTGGGATTGGTCCTGCTTTGAGCAGTGTTGGGACTCAATGACCTCCTGAGGTCCCTTCCAACCCTAATCTTCTGTGATTCTATGAAGCTCACATTCCTTGGGGTTGGTAGTTTATAGGTGGTAGGGGTTTTTTTTTTTTTGCTATCCCAGAACTCTTCAACATTTTTCCAACTTTTGAAAAGTTTCAGAGTAGAGTTTAATTTTTTCTTTGTGATTTCTGCAAAAGTGAAGGAAAAAGAAAAACTCTAAAATAGCTAATCAGGCATCCCTTGTGGTACTGCATTCAGTAGCAACAATAAATGAAAGAAACAAAAATAGGGAGAAGAAATGAAAACATAAACATTTTGAACAAAAATTATTTGAAATTCTAAAATGTCCTATTATGGCAAAATGTAAATTTTAAAAAGAGAAAGCTTTTGTGAAAGTTTTTGGTTACAGAAAGGTTGTTGGGGAAAAAAATCTGGATTGAATTTTTGACCAATTCTAATTTTTTTTCTCATCCATTGGACTTGGGGGGTGGTGGTAGGGGGAGAAAAACCCTAGAATGAGAAAACATAATGATCTAGCTTCTGGAGAACAGATGGGTATCGAATACACTCATGTAATTATATAGGAACTGCCAATTTATAGATTTCCACATTCATTTAGCACAAGCAGCACTGACTCCCAGGAAGTATGGACTGGATGACCTATTGGTCCTGTCACATCTAATTTCTGTGGCTGACTATTTCAGCAACACCCACTCTGACTGTCTATGGTGTGTGTGACTGATCTTCACTGATACATGGTAGATACTGTGGTTTAATATGATCATTATCAATGTAGAGTACATTCTAGCCCTCATTGCTATAGTACCTGGGCACCTCAGAACTTTTATGTATTATTCCTCGCAATACCAAGTGAGAAAAAGAACTATTTCCATCCTCATTTTACAAGTGGAGTGCTGAGGCACACAGAAACTAACTCAATGTAAACCAAGGTCACAGAGGAAGCCTGCAGTAGAGCTGGCCTTCATCTCTGGAGTCCTGGACTAGCCCCCAACCAGTGGACAATCCTTTCTTTATTAGCACATACTTCAACAGCATTCACTTTCATGCTTATAAATTCACTTATAAATGCATGCTGTGGACTTTTGTTAAACATTTGCTTGACATCCAAGAGCTGACAGAGTTTAGTCAGAAAACTTATATATGGTGCTCATGAATATGAGCACTTTTTAAAAGAGGTATTAGGCATATTTATTGACATTCTCCATTTTATTGTGAAACCTTTTTTACTCCAACATTAAATATAAAATGTTATTGTCAACAGATGATAAATTAAATGCATAAAAGGAATTTGAATATGAAGATTAATTTTATTAACATTCATAAAGTGTTTTCAGTTGAAGCCTGTAAATCTCTGAATGTGCTACCCCTTTTTCAGAGCTACATAACAGGCTCTATGGCAATACTAAGTGAACCTTCTCTCCCCAAAATAGGAAATACTGACCTCAGAACAGTATGAGTTATGGATTTCTTTTCATGGCAATATATGATTGACTTTACCTAAGGCATAGGAAGAAAATGCAGCTGAAATTGTAATGAAAAAAGTGCACTCCATTTGTCCTTCATGCAGACAAATGTAGAATTCCTATATATATTATACATTGCATCTATACCTATATCAATATAAGATTATTAGTAGATAATATTAGAGTTCATCATGATTAATGTAATTAACAAGCATATAGAAAGCAATAAATTTTTGTTAGTGTTACTGGAAATGCTTTTAGATGCCATTATGGTCTTTACCATTGTGTATCTAATATGAAGATTGCTTTTTCTTTCAATCAGAAGCTTTCTCCCCACTCCACAGAAAAGGAGATGTGAGTTGAATAGTACATCTGATGTGAAGCACTACTGTGCTTGCACAAAGGAAGAAACTTACGCTTTGTTGAGAAAATAGCGGGACACTGTTTGCATTTCAGGTAAGGCTATTCCTGGTATTAAAGTAAAATAAATAAGAATAATTATGAAATAATGACTAATGCTCTGCATATATTACCTTTTATTACCAAATGGCAGACTTGGCCTAATCATTGACACAGTATGATGGACCGTATTCATCCCATTAATTTCATTGCATCTCCATCCACATGGCTCAGGACATTTTTTTTTTTTAAAGTCTGGACCAGGGTTAGTGCCAAGGTCACCTGTTAATCAAATAGCATACATGATGAAGAGACACAATTCAAAGTACTAGAGCCATGGCCTGAAAGGATCTACTTTGAGTCAGAAACATGTAGAGATGAAATAAGGAGATGAAATTAAAGGAATTTATTACAAAATTTCAGAGCTGGGTTCAATTCATAAAGTGCAGATATGGATCAATGTCTAGATCTGAGCATTCTTCAAGTTTAGGACATGGCATTGAATTCTGTTTTTTTTTTTTATGGTTCAGGACCATTATAGAGTTGGAATCTTGACCCTGGGTGTGAACTTCATCAAGAAGGCTCTTGTTTGATCTTACCTCATTGTCCAGAGAATGATGTACTTGCTAAAGCATTGATGGTGGTGAGAGTGAACCCCCTGCCAGAAACAGTGATAGAAAAGGGGAGGACTTCTTATGGAAAGAAGAGATAGCAAGTAGTGGATGTATTAAGTGTTTTAGTCCCATTATCATTTCACTATCTGGGCCGGGTAGCACTACTGATGAACTATACTTCTATATAATGAACAGTCCTGTGGAATACTAAAACTTTAAAAACTACAAAGTTACAGACTAACATGGCTACCGCTCTGAGACTTAATATTTATATATGAGAACCATTTCAATTGCTGATTGCTCCCCATCCACCCAATGAGTGCTCCTTTCCTGACCACTCAAGCTCTGTGACATTTAATAAGATTGAGGAGCTTACACTGTGAACTCTGCTGGATTCTGCAGAAGGGATAGATTTGGAATGGAGACCTGGAGGCTAAAGGAAAATAAAAAAGTTGACCTTCTGCATAGCATAGTCATGCTTTCAGTGTGTTAACATGCACATGACTTTGTTTTGATGCTGTGCAAGCATTTAGAAAGAAAGCCATGCCATTGGTGTAGCCTATGTTGTTAGGAGAAAAATGTAATTTTGGGAGTATCTTTTGACTTCATGTGCCACAGATTCAGTGACAAGGAAATGATCTGGCAACAAACACAGGTATATATCTGCAGCCATGAGTTCAGTTCTTCCTGAAAATAGTATGAGATGTTTCCCTGCAGTGGAGAAATTGAAGGCTACATAATAATTATCTATTATATATAGATAATTACAGAGCACCCTTCCCTTTTCTTAATTAAAGAATGAAATTTATTATGAGCTATTATCTATTATCTCCAGTCACTCTTACAGAGTTTAGAACTACATTCTCCTCTTGTTAACCGAACTTGGTGTGTGCAACTGAAGCAGTTTAGCAAAACAGGATGAGTATAGATGAATTATTAGACGAGCATAGGGGCAGCCCATGCAGCAGGTGCTCCATATAGCTGCTGCAGAAGAAAAGTGTATGTATGTGTATTACTCCTCTCCCCAGCACCTGTTTCCTGGGACAGACATCCATGGAAGGTTCAAACCATATCTAAAACCACGTTTGTGATCACAGGGCACCACTTGGCATCTGAGCACAGCTAACTTTTGCCTGGTTCGTGGTGGTGGAGGGGAAAAGCTGTTTGTGGCATCTTCACTCAGTCTCACAGCATAGTCACACAAGGTGAAGCAGTAGTTAGCTCCTAATGAAAGGGATTTCTGGCTGATTGTATCTGCTCCAATGTTTCCTCTAATATTTTCCATCCATGCGCAGAATAATTTTAAGTGCACCAAGGCATCTAGCTGTGGGTGTTCTGATAATCAGGCTGAGTGTCATTTGAATCTCTCCTGAGCAGCCACATAAGTGCACAGCTTACAGGGAACACTGATCTGCTCTCACATATAGAGTATTGCAGCCACCCAAGGACTCTACATAGTGAATTCTAGATTTACTTTAATTATATAGAAGAGCTTTGTCTGTTGGATGCTGCATTTTTCCAGTTTATTACAATCATAGTCATATTCAGTTATATTCATGGTAGATAGCTTTGTGCTAATTCATGCTGAAAATGTCTAACTTTCTTTATCAACTTTCTATTAACTTTCTTTAGTAAAGCATTTGATACTGTCTCGCATTACCTTCTTATCAATAAACTAGGGAAATACAACTTAGATGGGGTTACTATAAGATGGGTGCATAACTGGCTGGATAACCATTCTCAGAAAGTAGTTATTAATGGTTCACAGTCATGCTGGAAAGGTATAACAAGTGGGATTCCACGAGGGTCTGTTTTGGGACTGGTTCTGTTCAGTATCTTCAACTATTTAGATATTGGCATAGAGAGTACCCTTATTCAGTTCGCAGATGATACCAAGTATGAGGGGTTGCAAATGCTTTGGAGAATATGGTCATAATTCAAAATGATCTGGACAAACTAGAAAAATTGGTCTGAGATAAGTAGGATGAAGTTTAATAAGAACAAATAAAAAGTACTCCACTTAGGAAGGAACAATCAGTTTCACACATGGGAAGCAACTGTTCAGGAAGAAGTACTGCAGAAAGGGATCTAGGTGCCATAGTGAACCACAAGCTAAATATGAGTCAACAGTGTGACACTGTTGCAAAAAAACAAACATAATTCTGGGATGCATTAACAGGAGTGTTATGAGCAAGACTTGAGAAATCATTCTTCTGGTCTGCTCTGCACTGATTAGGCCTCAGTTGGAGTATTGTGTTCAGTTCTAGGCACCACATTTCAAGAAAGATGTGGAGAAATTGGAGAAGGTTAAGAGAAAAGCAAATGATTAAAGGTCTAGAAAACATGACCTATGAGGGAAAACTGAAAGAACTGGGTGTGTTTAGTTTAGAATACTGAGGGTATGTCTAGACTGTAGAGCTTTTCTGGGATACCAGATGTATCCCGGAAAAGCTCTGTTGCGTTCAAGGAATGCATTTGCTTTTCCAAAAAATTTTTTCGGAAAACCAGATGCGTTTTTTCAGTAACCTTTAAACCTCGTTTTATGAGGAATAAGGGATGTTCTGAAAGAGGGTTTTTTCCTGACATTTGGCCCCGTGTAGACAGGCCACATTTCTGAAAAGCCTCTTTTGGAAGAAAAGCAGACAAAGATATGCAAATTGCAGTTTGCGTTTTGCATACCTTTTTCTGAATTTTCTTTGTAGTGTAGACACAGCTTGATAGGGGATATGATAGCAGTTTTCAAGTATCTAAAAGGATGCCCGCGGTTGGGAGAAAAACAAAAAAGTAGTCAATATAATAGTCTTCTATTGATGTGTGTTTTAATAGTTAAATTCCTGGACTGTCATTGCTCATTAATAGTGCTGTCATATGGGTGGAAATTGGGTAAATATTGTATTTTATTAATATCAGCAGAACTGACTTAAATGGGGCCTGTGTGTTGTGTAGTCTTGCCTTAATCTTTGTATTCATGCCCATCAGTGTGAAACTATTTGCATATATATTTGCATGTATATTCAACCACATTTAAATTGTGGCCCTCTGCATGTGCTGTGAGTATCATTGTGGCCCCCGGGGCTTCCAAAGTTGAGTAGTTCTGATCTAGGTGGTGCTTGGTACTGCCATGAGGGCAAGGGACTGGACTTGATGACCTCTCGAGGTCCCTTCCAGTTCTAGTGTTCTAGGATTTTATTACTCAAAATGTTACCCGGAGAAGAAAAGAAATAAATGTCATGAGAAGTGTTTGAATTCTGGGTCCTGAATCTTATCTTTATGGGTAATTTTTAAGGAGCCTACCTGCAGGAGACAAATTTTGATGATATTTTATACCTTCATCCTGTTACCCTATATCAGGGGTTCTCAACCTTTCTTTTATCTCTTCTGGGACCCCCTCTGAAAATATTCCAGGCTATGATCATCCCCATTCCCCAAAAGTAACAACCCCATCTCTCCTGCCATGCCACCCTTTTTGCTGCTACTGGTGGTGCTACCTTCAGAGACACCCAACTGCTATTCTCTGGTTCCCCAGCTCAGAAGGTGGTATCAAAGTAAGGTGGCAAAAACATGACGTCCCCACCCCTTACAATAGGGTTTCAACTCCCTTTTGGGTGGGGACCCCTTGTTTGAGAAATGCTGCCCTGTTTCTTTTTCTTTTTCTTCTCTTCTTCACTGTACATTTTCATATTTCAGCACCTGAAAAGGTTCCAAGCAGCTGTCTAAATAGGTCAAAGAATGGAAAAAGTAGGAACACAAATGGAAACGTAAAACAGGGAAAACGCCAAGGTAAATGATATTGAAAAAGGTAAGGAGCAATTTGGAATAAGATTGGACAGGATTGGGTATACATCTCTTCAGTGACAGGAGTAGGGCAGGTTGTGGACAGGGATTGGGGCATTACCAACATTTAGCTAGAGTCACTGTGGTTCTCTGATAATTTTTCAGAAGGACACTATTTGACCTTTAATAGTGCTATACATTGGAAAGGGATTGTGAAGCAACTGAGAATGAAAAACTGAACTAAGCTTGACTTCAAAAGACAATATTTGAGTTTAGTCTGTGTAATGTGAAACTATAGGCAGTTTTATTTTTTTCCCACTCAGTATCTTCTCCTGTTTGAAAACATCAGACAGTCTTTGAGCTTGGGAGAGCAGTCTTTTTAATTATACTTTACCATTAAGAATGTAAAAAAAGAGAGTCTGAGAGCTGTCTAGAAGTCTGCTTCTTGGCTAACAATCACACTCTGAGAGATTCTGTTCTGGTTAGCGTTTCTTGTTCTTTTCTGAACACTGCTGTGTTAATTACTTCTCTTGCTGTTAGCTTTGATAGGGCAGTCTTGGACCCAGTACCCCCTGAAGAGGGAAGGTGATATGATCTAAATTCTACATTTGCTACCAGTTCTTCTTTTTCAGCCTGTGCTGCAGAGTCCTGGGTTTAATATTAATTTAGATAAATTAATCTATCCTTAACCTAGCCTCTGATTTTGTGCCTGCATTTTTGTGGGCTTTTTGGTAGCATATAGATGTATACTTACCTGATTTGTGGTTAATTGTTAAGTCTCTGTATGATGTGTCCATATTTATTTGCATCTGTAATAAAAAAGCCATATAAATTGCTGTAATTTATTGAGAGTGACAGTCATGCACCTTTCTGAAACTCCACGAAATTGTGTTTCCTACTTGCCCTCTCTATGCTGAATTGTATCCCTTAAAAATTCCACCAGATCTGACCAAAAAGATCTAGCAATTGAATGCCAAGCAGTTTTCTTTTTTATTGACACATTCTGGGCCAGAGCCTCAGCTGGTGTGGGGGACTCCACAATTCCCCTTTTACATCTCACTGAAAAGCCATTAAAATTGCAGTTAGTCAGCAAATCCAAAATCAAGCACCTGTTTGCCTGATATAAACAGCTGTACTGCATACATTTCTCTGCCCTATTAGCAAATCATGTGCCATATTCAGTACCAGTTGTCTAGTTCCTTTGTTTACAGTGTTGTGGGAGAAAACTTTTCCATCTAATAAAGCAACACAGTGCAATTAAAATATGGGGCCAGATTCTTGTTTGATGTAATTCTCTTGAAGTCACTGAGATTACACCAAGCTATTTGGGCAGTGAAATATTTTTAAATGTATTACTCTTTTTTTTTTTTTTTAAGAGAAAGTTGCTTCTTCAGTGGTCACCAATGTCACTATTTCAGTGTTGACTTTGATTAGGTTGTGGCCTCACTGAGTTAGTGATTTTTTTTCCTTTTAAAAGAAAACGAATGAACAAAGACATGTCTCCTGGACTGCTCAAGTGTTCTGGAGTCTTCCAAGCTTTAATCACCTGGGACATTCCTATAACATGAATTCATTTGAATTTATATTTGTTTTCTTTTGACAAAGATCTGGGGCTGAGCCACTCTTTCTTTTCTGAAAATTATTACCCACCAATGTGTCTGGAATTATGAAACTGAAGCTATCGGAAACCATTCTAACTTCTCCCAAACCACTGGCGTTTCCTGCTGCACTTTCTTTTGCTCATATGTACTGGCTGGTGTCCACAAACAGTATTTCATGTTCTGTAAGGTAAGATCAGATTTACAACAATGACAAGTTAAAATAGCACCAAAAATACAGACAGCACTAGAGAACCTAAATTATAGACAAGTAATAGAGAGTATTAAAAGAATAGAGGTCAATCTGAACTTTAATTATTTACTGCCTAGTACAATAAATGACAAGGCGTGACAATATCTACTGCTTTCTTTCTGAACTAGTTTTTACAGCGTTTTGAGAAAACTGATATAAAATGGCGCATTTAGTTGCTGTGTTCAACTGCATGGGAAGTATAGCCCTAAAGTTAAGGCATTGGTGTGGGACTCAGAATGTGTGTTCCTGACTTTGCCACAGACTTACTGTGTGATCTTGGGCAAACTGCTTCATCTTCCTGTGCCTCAGTTCCCCATTTGCAAAATGGGGATAATACATCTGTCTATTTAGACTGTTAGGCTACATCTGCACTGAAACACTATTTCGGGATACCGGAGTATTCCGAAACAACTGTCCCGGGTCTTCACAGCAAGCCTGTTATTTCGAAATATAACAGACTCACTATTCTGACGTTCCTGTAAGCCTCATTCCACAAGGAGTAAGGGACATTTCGGAATAGCAATTTATTTTGAAATAAGTGATATGTAGATAGCGCCAAATTTCAAAATAAGTTATTTCAAAATAACTTTGAAATAAGATACGCAATTTGAGCTACGAAAATTGTGTATCTGAATTTGACCTATGGTGCAGTGTAGATGCACCCTTAGGGTATGTCTACACTAGCCCCCTAGTTCGAACTAGGGTGGCTAATGTAGACATTCGAACTTGCAAATGAAGCCCGGGATTTAAATATCCCGGGCTTCATTTGCATGTTCCCGGGCGGGCGCCATTTTTAAATCCCCTTAGTTCGAACTGACTGCCCGCGGCTACAGGCGGCAGTCAGAAGTTAATCCGAACTAAGTCCTTAGTTCGAATTAACTGTTACACCTCAGGAGGACTGAAGTGGGTCACAGGACTGGGTCACAGCTTACATTTTATATCACAGTAGTTCTCAAATTGGTGGTCCATGGAAAGCTGGCTGTTCACATCATGCTGTTTTTTTTCTCTCAGCTGCTGAATTACATTTAAATATACAGAAACACTCCACTAACACTGCTTTTCCATGTAAGCAATTCCTGGGTGGTAGCCACAGAGCTGTTCTGTCATTGTGAATGGAAGAGGGTGGTAGTTTGCACACTCGTGAATGGGAAGGAAGGCAACCCACCTTTGTAGTAAGGTATGGGCCAGCCTATGAAAATGTTTGACAGCTTCAACCTCCACTCCTGTCTTTGTACTTCCCATAAAGAATTTCTAAACAAAACTCATCCCATAACAGAACGTTGGATATTCTTGTTATCCTCAGTACCCAACTACAGATAAAGTAACTGTTGTTATGACTTTGGTGCTATCTCAGAAATGGCATTTGAACTAATGGGAGGGCACAGCAAGGTCACAGGCAAAATGCATCTACAGGAACTTAAACAAATCAGACATATGGATAAATGTATACTTTGCCTTGTCATGGGAACAAACTGTCACATCTTAAAAAGGTTTCTGCTTTGGAAAAATAAAATAAAAGCCATAAGCAATCACTTAAAGAGGCTGCATAAATAATTTGCCATTTGTGAGCAATATATGCAAAATGATAGGACTGCAAGGACTCAGTTCTGTGGAAAAGCTTGTAACCATTTAAGCTGCCATACTAGTGTTTATTACCTGAATCACCTCCGGGAGTCTGATAAACACCTGTGATCTGCTGGTAATTCAGGAAAGAAAGCAGCACTCTGTATGACCTGCTTTTTTTCTTTTAAGTAATCATGGTGTAATAAACAGTGTAAACTGATTCTGAACATGCAAAGAATATACTGAGGCAAGTAAAGGTTACTGCTGTCATCTTGATGCCCAACAAACAAAGCTAATAGCAGGAAATACACAGTTTAACACCTCAATATGCTGTACTTAGAGATGGAAGGAAAAGACCAAAAGACAATAGGAACCAGAGGCACGTAAAAGGCAATTTGGTCATTTGGTTTAAAAATGAGAGTAAATGGTGCATGTTTTGAAGAGCAAAACATGGGTATTATGTTTAAACTATAAATGTGTTAAGCTACTTCATGACCAGTAGAGTAGTAATTTCCTGGAAAGCAATATTTAAATGTATCCATCATCATTTAGATCTTGATACACAGTTAAATATTATTGATAATTTGCAATTGTGTGTGTACATATATTAAACAAAAGAAGGTAGAATGTAAAGGTTGTGGGATGAAGTGCAAACAGTTCTGGGGTTTCCAATTACTAGAGATTTTTTTTTTAATTAAGAAAGTCACATGCAAATTATAGACATCCAGTTTATAGCATTGCAATCTTACAGGCTTGCACTCATGAATATGGTAATTTTTATTTTATGCTCTCTTGAGATGTCTTGTTAAAAACATTTTATCGGTGATCCTAAAATTCAGTAAATTTGAAGCTGTTGGCACCCTGAAGATAGTTAAAGTTTTTCAAAAAATGTCAGCAATAAATATTTGGCAAATATAAAAATATGCACATTTCCCCCAAGTGGGTGATATTTTTGTTGCAGTTCTTATAGCCAAGTGATGACACTGCAGTTCACAATGTAAGTGCATATTGATATTTTCTTTCAGAAACTGCAAGTGTTGCTTAGAGAGTGCTTCTCCCACAGAGTTATTTTTATGCAGACACCTGGAAGTGGTTACATTCTTGCTCTGGTTTGCAGACTTGTTTTGGACAATCAGGTGTATGTATAAGCAAGTGGTCTTTATTTGGAGCAATTAAAATTCTAACATTCTCCTCTCTTGACATGCAATTACTAGGGCTCTGCTGTTCTCACTAATTGCTCTTGCTGGGGACATTGGTAAAAAGCCAATGATTTTGATGGGTAGTGGATTATCATTTTTACTCTGCTACCTGAGAAAAAAATCATTTGCAAAATCCCATGTGTAATTAGCAAGACTCATGATTAATTGTCCTGCAAAATTAGCTTCACTGTTGCTTTTATTTTACTGCTTCAAATATTAATTAATGTTAACTCCTCTCCTTCAGTTCCAGCTTTTGAATATTCAGTGTGGCTTTGAAAAATTAGTCAGGGCTTCTACTTGCATTAGCATGCTAGAGCTTTGATTTCCGAATAAGTATTCTGATTTAAAAGATCACACTTGGGTCATAAATAATTTTTATAGGAGGACAAACAAAGCATCAAAGCATCATGGGAAGGCATTCATGCACTAACTGAAAGTAAATTGTTTCAGTAATGATTCATTCCCCCAGTGCTTTTGGGGAAATACGCAAACCACTGCATTGTGGGGCAAAACAATTCTTTAATGACAGGCAATCAATGTATATTTCCATATCAGTAACAATATGAAAGAGAGGAGTTAATGCTGGAGCAATACCTTTTTATCCTCTCAACTTGAAGTTGCAATGAGTACTCCCTTTGTTACTCTGAATTGCAGGTTGTTAAGTTTGATGTTGCAAGGTAGAAAATGCCAAGTGTCTGTCATTTGATACCATCTGTCTCAGTGCTCTCTAAATTATTATTTTAAGCTAATTCTTATCATAGGGTCAGAGAACCACAAGAGGGGTCTAGTCCAGACTGTTCCTGAGGAACAAGAGGGAGGTTCTGATGGCAAACTAATTAAAACACGTTGCCCCCCCCCACATTTGAAAGTCTATTTCCTCAGCTTCCATTTTGAAGAGATGACTGTTTAATTGTATCCATACTACATAGCACCACTCCTCTTAATAGTGAGATCATAATCCTCCAAAATATTCTCCTTCCCTGCCAGATGGTTTCCACACAAAAGATAATTTTTGTCCTCTTCCCCCCCCCCCCCCCCCACTCCAGACATATCCTAGCAATAGACAGAGGCTTCATTTTGCTCTTGCATGGGGTGGGGGAAGGGGGAGAATCATGTTTCTTTATCTGATCACCTGTCAAAAACGGTTCCCACAGGCAACATAAGAAAAGCCTGCCCTTAAGTCAAGCATGATACCTCCCACCCCACCGTGACTCATTACAATAATATCTAACTCTCTTTCCAGAGGCAATTTAGTTCCATTTTCGGGGGGTGGCTACCTGCAAGTGCTGTGAGTCTGTGATTACCTTCACTTCATCATGGCATGATCTCAACTGTGCCCTTGCCACAGAATCCAGGGTTGAACACTAGGAGCAGCATGTGTATGGTAGCTGCAGACAACAGCATTTTGAAGAACATATCTGGCCTTATTATCAAGGTTGAGGGTGAATAGCATAACTTTGGGAAATTCCATCCCCCTCATCTCTCCATTCCCATTAAACTAAGTAGTTCCTATGGAGGCTTTTACTGTGCAGCACAAAAACACAGCACATTGTGGCTACATTTTGTAGAACTAGGATTTTATTTACTTAAGACTTACCTAATTGGCATAAAAACCTGGGCTAATGTGTCTATAAAATAACATTCTTATATAATGGAGCTAGTATAGCTGTATATGTTATGTTATAGCTGTGTACAATATTCGTTGGTACATTTCCTTTACCTAGTACAATAAAGGGAATCTCTTTGTTCACATTTGAAAACTGCATTCAAGAATCTTAGTCCCAAACTAGAACTGATTGGGAATTTTCTGATTTAAATGTTTCACCAGAAAATCTGGGTTTGAGACCAAAACTATCCACAGGAAAGGCTCAGTTTCACTGAATCTCCTAATTTGCCATTTTTTCTTAAAACTTTGAAATTGTTGGGACATCTAGTTTTGACCTTTTTCAAAACAAAGTTTTGGATTTGTGACCCAACTTTTTGGTTAGAAACTTTAATTTGTACTAAAAACATAAAAAAAGATTGCAATAAAAACAAAATGCTTCAAAATTATCAAAACAAATTGTTTCAGCTGCT